ACTGCTCTATGACCAGGTGGAGGCCAGAGCCAGAATGCACTCTGTGCCCTGGGCCAGAGCTGGAGCCACAACTCAGGGTAAACAGCAGCAGAAGGAATTGGGGGGGGGGAAGTGTTTCAGAGACGGACTCAGACTCCAAACCCAGGCCAGAACCAGGGCTGCCTGCCACCCTCTCCTTGTACTCGACTCTAAGACAAGGATCTTCCCTCCACCCATATTAAATGGGGGAAAAAAAATAATCCTTGTCTTGGATTCCAAGTAAATAGAATATATTTTAAGAGGCAAGCTTTTACACAACAGCCTGGTCAAATGAGATCAAATGAAAATTGTAAGACTGCATCTATTTACAACTGCATCTATTTACATTTTTATTTTAAAGTTTGGACTGCCCAATTTAAAATTTATACTAAGTTTTAATTGATATACAAAAATCAAACCAACATTTCCTGAGAAATTTCCTCTGTATTTACCATTCTAGGAAAGAAATCATAGCAGCAGATTATTATAGATTCTAATATATTAGAAACAATAGGTTTCCCCTGTTTGTTTTTCTTCACCTCTATTACATTTTTTAAAAACAAAGCTCTAAAGTTAAAAACTAAAATAGCTTGAATTAAAATAAATTTCTTATTATTCCACTAGCCATGCTCCTTTAAGAAAATTAAAAGAACTTTTTACTTTTCAGAATATTTTTCAGTCCATCAGGGAAGCCAACAAAATTAAATACAGCTAAGACATGGAGGAACTAAGAAAGGCTTCTCTCTGTCTTGGAGTACATTTGTTTGTTTGCTTTTTATGGGCAGCGGTAGAGGAAGAAGGGACTCCAACCAAAGTAATCAAGTTAGAAATGGAAAGCATTGCCATGAAAAGAATTGCCATGGATCAGTTTTATTGATGATGGACCTTTCAGAATAAAAAAAGTGTATCACAAAAATTCCTTTTTTCCCCCCCTAGGACACACAGGTCTATAGACTCTGATGTAGTGGAGTCATACCCACAGATGTGATCTGTTAATATAGGCAAAACCCCCCTCACTGAAGAAATGGCTAGTGAAATAACTGGCAGAACAAGTCTATACTAGAATTCTGTCAAGGAGTCAGGAAACCCGTCCTCCAAATTCTGATACAATACGTTGCAGCATCTCTTACTGCAAAAGAATTTAGATTGACTCAGCAATTTAGAAGTAGCTGGGAGATGGGGAAATCCTTAACAAAATTGTCAGTATAGGGAAAAACTAAACATTTGTCTGTATTTTTAGACAGATTTCAAATAAAATCTTCACTCTGCAACAAGATGTGAATATGCACTCACTGCTCTGGCCTGTATTTCCAAACTGGCATCTTTGCAAACAGTGTCCCATTTACACCAACAGAAACATTCACTGTACCTAGAAATAAAGAAAAAGTTTCAAGGAGTGTATATTCCAATTAAAATATATCATGCAGCAATTGACACTTCAAGCACAGTTACTGAAAACAGCCACCAGATTCATTCCTCCTTATCCTCTCATTTTGACTCCAGGTCTGTTTTTCCTGAGTCTTTTTTCAAACAACAAAAACAAAACAAACATCCAGTACCCTCTCCTGCAACTCTGCCAAGAGGATTTCCGATTCAGTTGAGTGATACCTTGGCAGCATCAACTGACCCCTCTGGCATCTGTAACTAATGGATGTTTCAGTAAGTCAGTGGGGTGATGCGCATCACCAGAGACTGTCAATTATTTTCTTCATTGAGTAAAGCCAGGCAGATACTCCAGCTGGTAGGACCAGAGGCAGCTAAAGGGATGGCTGCATTGGGGAAAGAGGATAAAATGGGCACATCTATACATGCATATTAATTAGATGGAATAAACTCTAGCACATATTGCATCAGAGTTTATTGCTCCCAGGTGCCAGGTTTACACACACGCCCTGGACCGCAGCATGTTGAGCTGGGTCAGAGCAGTCTCAGCAGGCAGGAGGTCCTGGGGGAGGGAGGAAGGGGGCGGGGTCAGCCTGCCAGTCCAGGGCTGCTCCAACCTGGCTCAACGTGCTATGGATGGGATGGTTGGGGCATGAGGGTGCTCTAGTGAGGGACTAACCAGAAGGCAGCCCCTGTACTGAAGCACCCAGTGTCCCAGCCAGCCAGGTCAGTGTCTACATGCTCACTGCTGTGGAGTAAAAAAAAAAAACAAACACACACACAAAAAAAAGCTCTGCAGTAGGGTACTACTTGTATTTGCAAGTACTACCCTGCTGCAGAATGTATTAGTTTACTCACGCCTAATAGCACAGAACGGGTAGGTGCCGAGAAGTTTACTACAGAGCTAATTAGTCTGCTCCTCGTCTACTCCTCAGTAAACGTCTTGTGTAGATGGGCACAATGGGGATTCAGTTAGGGCCACCTGTTCTCCCAGAACTGTCCATGGGAAAGACTCTCTCTCTACTTGGGCCCAGAAGTTTCCTCCCTTTCTGTAGCTCTCCTGCAGAGAGAAGCCAGAGACTTCAACCAGTAAATGCAGAAACAGACATTGCTATAAGAAGCAAAGAAAGAGGTGAGACAGACCAAACTGTATCTTCCACCAAAAGCCTGTGGGACTCCACTATTCTAGTAGCACTATGACCCAGGTGATGCCTTTTCTTCCCACCCAACACAAGAGGCAGCAGCCAAGAACTGCAGCGACCAGGAACAGAGGCAGTTAAAGCAAAGACCTTTGGACCTAGAGCATTCTGAATTTTATTTTTTACTGTTTTGTCTCTACTTTCACTGGTCTATGCTGTTTGGTCATTTTCTCCAACTCTCCTGCTATGCTACAGTCTCCACTTTGGTCTCACCCCACAACTGCTTCTTTTTTACTTTCTCCCTTACCTTAATGCACAACCCTTTTCCCTACCTCCTTTCTATTAATCTCTCCCTCTAAAAACCTGGAGATATGACATTCATCATGACACTCTTCACTCCATTTGTGCATCAAATCCCTTCTTCTCACAGCCTTATGCAAGTCCTATGCAGTTAGCATCTTCTATTACCCTAATTTTTTTTATAGTGTCTAGCATAATAGAACCCTATTTTTGATTGGACCTTAGACACTACTTGAAACTTGATAACGAAACTTTCCCAAAACTGCTTTAAAGACTAGCTTTCTCTTCAGGATAGGTTTGTTAAAGAAGATTTGCTTACTGTCTTCCATGCCTGCCTTCATAACAGGGCTAACCTGTTGCTTTTGACTACTCAGACAGGTAAGTTCTACCCAATAACTGCTGTTAGGAAGGCTGTAATTTCCATTGGTATTAAAGCAGGCTTCCACTAATTCTTTAAATTAACAAAACACTTTTTGCATTTTCCCATAGGCCAATTTTGCAGCAGATAAGCACTTATATGCAATTCTATGTTTAAATAAATTCCATTACATGGTATTGTAAATGTATATTTCAGGTACATTATGCTTAATTGTAATGCAGAATACAGGGTAGATTTGCACCTACTTTATAGACTAACTAAATCAGAGTGACTGTACAGGTCCTTTAATAGTATCAGAGGAAGTGAGCTCAGGCTCACAAAAGCCTATGCTATATGTCCTTGATTTAGTTAATCTATAAAGTGCAAATCTACACTGCCTTCTGTTCGACTTCAGACTAACATGGCTAACTACCTCTCAATTGTAAAGACATCAAAGGTATACCCCATATGAAAAAAAGACCAGATAAATGGGGTATATAGTTGTAATGGAATACAACCATAGTATGTAGTTTCTTCTCTGCACACATGAAATGTAACTTTAGGAAGAACAGTAAAACTGACGGATTTAAAATAAAACTTGGAAGCCACCCTTGGGATGAATTTTACATGATAAGTCAACATCAACTTGCTTTTGTAGCTCAAGATAAATAGTTGTTCTACAAGTGCCAGGAACCTGTTCCAGCTTCTTGCAGGGGGGATAGTCACCAGAAATACTATTTTGAAAGTGAGGTGGCAGACTGTTTTCCAAGAGGGGCTCCACTGCCTGTCAGAGGACATTTTGGGGCTTTTACACTAGAACAGGCTCTGTAAACAAGAAATAAGTATTCATCATGCCCTTAAAAAAAATGTTGAGACCACCAGTTCAGAAAAATACCATCATGGCTTCCCATGCAGCTGCTACTGTACAAAATCTGTGCACAAATCCCTGGTTCACCATTCAGAGTGTCTGGGGTTTTTGATCAATGTCCTTTCCTCTCTCTCTGCCGTGTTTTTTCATGGTTTGTTTCCTCCTATTTAAAATGAGTGGTGAGAACCTTTTATAAAGCTGCACTCCCTTTTGTAAAATTACCCCTTGCATCCCGCCCCCGCCCCAGACTTCAAGTACCTCATCAGCTGATTTTGTTGCATGGTTACAGGCTCAGCTGGAGGAACGGGTTTCCCCTGGGCATTAGCCAGCTCACTTTCCTGGTAAGGAAAGTTATTCTACTTCTGATCATCCTTAGTCACTGTCCCAGGTGCCAGTCTCCCTTTCCTTTTCACAAGTTGTGATGCATCAACACTGAAGGACAACATGTGGGTATAAACAGATAACTGGGGTGTACTATCCTTTATCTGATTTGCACACAAGTGCATAAAGTGGTTTTTATATTAATTATATCTCATCCAGCTCTGGGACAGACTGTGTACACAGAAAAGAAATGTTCCGGCCCTGAAAGCAGCTGATATTTTTCTCAGGAGGGTCAAAGCTATACTTATCAAATTTACAAAAGTCCCAGCCATGTTGACTGTCACAACCAGAATACATGCATCATTTGTGGAAAGAACAGTGCTTTGGAGACATCAAATCACTATGTTCTAGCAAACAGATATTCTGGTCTCTCCTTCTGGTAGCTATTCCCTGAATCGAATTGGGATTTGGACAAACCTCTTCCATAAACCCTAGACGTCAACAAACAAAAGGATCAGTCTGCCTGGTTCACTAAATGAAGTTCCTTCAAAAAATCCAGTTGTGTATTCACACGGTAAGACCACGCAATAGGACACTGAACAACAAAAGGGATGAAATGAGACGCAGGTGGGGAAAAGGGAATTATTAGAGACTGTTTATGTGAGATCTGGTTCTTCTGCATAGGAGAATCAGCATCTTGACAGGTTTCAGTAAGTACTGTATGTTTGGGGTCTTGTTGCACATTAGTTTTAGGTGGCTCCTGGAACTCTTAACCCCTGGATTTATCCACACATTGATAGCCAAACCTAGTTTTAAGAGCACTTTAGGAGGCTTAGTTATGCCCCTCCAGAGCAAGTTTCTCTCTGATCTGTGTTATTGCTTGTGTTCCATTAAAGTGTGGCCACATCCCACAGATGAGGGGCCCCAGCTGCAGTCCTCCAGCATCCCAGGATTCAGTGTCCCCTCCCGCACCCTCTTGTTGTTTGTGGACAAGCTTTCCACCGCCAAACTCTACTGCCCACGGAGCAGTTCTGGCATCAAGCTAACTCCCCTTCCTTTCCCCAGGAGTAAAACCTTCCCACTATCAGAGGTGCAATCCCACGCAAACAGCCTACAGAGAACATGCCAACTACGTTGGTCACAGACGGGTCCAGGAGTGGGGTCTTACGAGAGGCAGCAGGGGGGTGGGGGGGAGGAAACAAGATAGGGGGCCAGAGTTCCCATGAACTGGGGCTTCTTTCCCAGGGCAGGGGCGGTAGCTCCCCCCAAAGTGCCTTCCCTCACTGCTCCCACTTCCCAGACACCCTGGGAAGCATGACCAACACCCTCCCACCCCAATTCCAAATCCCAAATTAATAAAACATGAGATGTTCTTTAATTTACTTCCTGTTTGTTTTTAAATTTTTATTTCTTTTTATTTCATCCTCCAGTGGCTGACTTCCTTTATTTCACACCCTTCGCCTAGTCCCATTTCCTTTCCATCTCCCATTTCATTACCCACCCCCATCCCATTAACTCTCCATCTCCCAGCTTCATGTTCCTACCCCAATGCCTCACCCCCACCTAGAGCAGGGATACAAGCCTGTTTGAGCTCACCAGCCCTGTAGTAGCAACTTAGAGCTGTAGCTCCTAGTCGGGCCCCTGCTCACCAGCCCACTAGTGGCAAGTCACAACTGTGCTGGTAGGGAACAGTCAGAAGGTTTTTAGCCTTAAGGTGCAATTACTCGAAACTTGGATTAGCACTAACATGGTCAATATTTGAGCAGCTCAAAAGTGCAATGTGTAACAAGGACCTTATTTTTAGAGACACCACTTATCTCCTTTTATAGTCATCACCCAAGTGCTCTTAATTCTCACAGCCTTGCAAAAGAACAGGGAACATTTTGTATAATTCTGACCCACAACGATATAGAGATAGAAGGTAGAGCAGGGTGGAAACTTAGAGGCGAACTAGTTCAGAGGCAAAAGCTTTGGTAGGGAATGACCAACTTCATCAGATGCTCGGAATGGACCAACAGAAAGAAAAGATTTAGTTCTAAAGTTGCTACTCTATGCTATCTTCTGCCTGTCTTCAGCTTAATACAGCTACCATGCCAGGAACAGCTGGATAACTCTAACTATAGGGATGGTTTAATTCATATCCTAGCCTTTCTATTATCCAACAACAAAATGTGGGGAAATCACTCATCCAATTACTGTACAGCTCCACAGAAAACTCCCTCTGGATAATGTCTGATAACCTCATTTGCCCCAAAGCTATGGGCAACTACTGACTCTTACCTTGAAGGAATTTGGCATCAAACCATAGCTGCACTGCTCCCAATGAGCCCCAAGGCCAGTGAGAACAACTACCAATTTCAACTTCGCACCCTGCACCTGCTCTAGCTATTACATGCAGAGCAGTGCTCATCCTGTGTACTTAGCTAACCACATGGCTTGTATTCCTTTCTTGCTATCACATCTGGCAACAGCCAACATTTAAAATATTTTTTCTAATGAACCTGAATAGCTTCAGCTTTTCAGAGGTTTCCCTTTGCAGAACTAAAAGCTGGTGACTGATTGACATAGGCCTCTGATCTCAAAGTCCCATCCCTATGCAATAGGATACAAAATGTTTCATGCACTGTATTCCCCGAAGGTGAAGCCTGTCAGGCCACTGGATTTATGCAATCAAAATAACCCTACCTGCAATAGTTAGCTGTCCATGTTTGCACTGCATCTGAAAGCAAGGTGAGGCATTTACAATGAGAAATTTACAGTGTTTCACCTGGCTGCCTGTGAAGGACTTGTATAGAGGTGGCCATTCTTTCAAGTAAAAAAATCTCCCCCAGTTAGAAAAACCAAATCCTTGACCACCAGGGAAAATAGCCAAATTTACTTTTGGCAATATCCAGATTTGAATTTGAACTAGTAGAAACTAAGGACTCTCCTGGCCTTATAAAAACAAATGTTTTGTGTTCAGGCAGCTTCCTCTCGTCACTTCATGGACAGCTGCAGGAAGAGGCATGTGTGGCCAGACACCGAGCAGGAGTAGCGCGGGGCATCGGGTGGCAGCTACAGCTGC